TTCCAAGAATTTTATGTAGTAGTCAAGAGGTTGTTAAGTAAGAAATAGAAGTAGTAAATAGCTAAAAAATGAAAAGGAGGGGGAGACTGAAGACTGCCCAAAATAACTGGCTCTTTATCTACATTCTATCCCTTCAAAATCACAGTGTTCTCATCAGCTAAGGTCAAACAGTCTATTGACTCTTGAATATAGATGTACCCTTTTCAGAAAACTTCAGTTCATAGTCTAAAGCAAGCAGAGCAATTAGGACAACTAAAACCACAAGAACACCCAGATTTAGGCTTCTACGACAATTGTACAGACTTTGAAGTGCTTTCCCTATAAGTCATACTTGCTAAAATGACTAAAACTGTTAGATTAGGCAGCTAAGTCGGCAGTAACAGGAATGAGTAAATTCCGTAGGGTACAAGATTTCATTCCCCTTTGAAGATGTGAACTCATAAAACTACAGATGGCCTACATCCATAATAAATAATAAATATCCCAGATGGCCCACTCCCTGAACCGTATCAATGTCACATGTGTGCCTTGAGGGTACAATGACTGCTATATGACTTCCACAAATTATACCAAACCAGGAAGGAAAAAGAGGATCAGATGTGCAGATATGTCTTCCCTCACCTTCTTAAAACCACCGGCGCATTGCTTCCCACATCCAGGCAGCTACTCAACTTCGCTCCACTCCTACCCTACTGGTTAATAAAACCCCAATCCCTGACAACTGTAATGCAGTTGGCTCTTACCAAGCTGCATACCTCACATATTGAGGTATAATTCTGCTTTGCTAATAGTCGCTTTTTGCCATTGTGCGCCTCATGTTTTTCTTTTGTTTCCTGCACTTGGTGCAGTGCCCTAACCTTAGAACTTGCAGCCAAAGAACCAATGAACATCTGGAACACTCCAACCACAAATAACAAAACCTGTAACAAATTCCAAAGGAGAAAAGCTTTCAAACGTTTTGAAAAGACTTTCCCCCAATACTCCTTCTGGTCAAGCGGTCAGGGAAAATGTTCTTTCCCCTATAAAGCAAAAGTCTGCCCTAAGGTCAGCAATATATAGTAAACTACTTGATATTGGTTCCAAGGAGACAACCATTGAGGAAAAGCCACGAGTGCTCAGGACACAGAGTTCAGTGCTGTACTGCAGATGCTTGATTCATTTTTCCCAATAATATTGCCCAACTTCCACTAAAGACATGCTGCCTTTCAACAACTCTAAAATTCTCACTTCGCCACTTAAGTTAAGCACACTAACTTTTATCTTGCTTTAGGGGAACCATTTGCTTTTGGGGAGGCTTATTTTCAAAAAATTAAGAGCAGGGTAACACTCAGGAGATCACACAATGATTTAAACACAACTAATGATAATATAGGGGACAGACTGAGAGCATCTTCACATCAACTTGTTAGCAGGAGTTCTAGTTAGGGTCCTCAATTCTTACGTGTACAGGACATGAGATTTCAAGCAAGACACGAAACATAGTAAAAGTAATAGCAAATTTTACTAAGAGAAGTAAGTTTAGGACTAAGCTCAGTGTTCATGCCTATAATACCAGTTACTCAGGAGGCAGAGATGGTGAGGCTAGAAGTTCAAGGCCAGCCCAGGGAAAAAGTTAGTAATTCTATCAGATAAAATTAAGCCAAATGCTTCTCAAACTTTACAGGACCTGGGAAAAAATTTTAAGATCATTATATTAAATTAAGCAATTTTCATTAGATGTCTACATCATTTATAGAGAAGTTAAATACTAAAAACTCAATTATTAAACATAAGTTTAATGATCATATACCTTACCATTGTGTTCTGCAGGAACTTTCTTTTAAACTGAACATGTTTGAATGTGTTTCCACATCCAAGGCTTGTATTTTAAAGCAGCGTGTGTTTCTAGACATTATAAGTCAGTGTTTGTTTACAAAAGCAATTTCTAAAAATTATACATGCAAAGTAAAACTAAAAATAAGAAGGATAACAATTCTATATGTGAAAAAAGCGAGATGTGTTTTATAAAAATATATGGATGTTCTTTTGGTGAAGAATGTTAAAAGGAGAAAGAGCAATTTGTATTTGCTTATGTGAGAATCTTGTGTAGTCAAAATTACAAGAGAAAAATATTGGACAAAATTGAAAGTTTAAGGAAACTGTAGAAGTGTAAAGAAGATGAACCTTATAAAAGCAATTTTATGTGTGATGAAATTGGCTGAAACCAAAGGAGAATTATTTATAAAATCAGCTTTTGCAACTGAAGATTCATGTACTCATAGAGCCCATATTACTATCTACAGTTTAGCCTTACACTCATGATTACAGTCTTCTCTTACTCTCCTATTTGGGATACACCACCAAGGAATGAGCCTTCTCATAACAGAGAATCTCATTTCTTAACACTTGGGAGCTATCACTGGATCAACAATGCTACCCAGAGAAAGATTTTGATCAAAAGACAGAAGCAAGAGAGGACTTGAAATGTCACAAGAATGAGATCACAAAATTCTTTAACTCTGGGGAAACATGAGGCATGAGACCACAGTCACCTAGGTCATTCTGAGCTAGCACAACATATTTATGCAGACTCCCTTACATCATAAATGCAATAAATAACTTTAGTAAAAGCCTATTTCTGCTTATCACAATCCTGACTTACTGGAGTGTATGACATTAGTGACTGATGACCAATATCTTACTGACCATTTCAATAGTATCATCAAGTTTGCTATAAATTCCATCTTGTTCTTTCTTTAACTTATAAGAAACCAGTCCCCTCTGATGCCAATTCTGGAGCATTTTTTTCTGGGAAAGTAGAATTTTTGTTTTCTTCCCTAGTGGCCATCTCACTTTGGCTCTTAAAATATACAGGACTTTTAAAACATGTATCTTTTCATTTATTCTACACCACAGGACTTTTAATGCCAGCCATACAGAAACTAAGATGGAGAGGACATAGATCACAAAACTTGCAGAATCTAGAATCAAAACCAGATGCTGTAGTTCCAATTCCAGTGGGCCTTCCACACTTTGGGACATTTGTACTAAAAGGGTGAAAAGACATCAAGGGAATTCTACCTAACTCATATTTCTGTTTCAGTTGACTTCTTGTAGTCTGTCAATCATCTTTCAATTGTGTTAAATTAGAAATGAAACATCATCCCTTCTGTAGGACATAGAAATTTATATTATTTAGATTACACTGTTTCATGGATTTCACTACAAAATTTTCTTCAAACCCTTATCATGGGTCTGTTATAGATGAACATGGAAAGGACTTCAAAATAGGGAAGGAGCAAGGTAAGTCCTTTGTGTGGATTTTTATTGTACTTTAATAACACCCACCATTTCCCTTGCAAAGTCCAAAAACATCAACCTCATTTTCTATTCTTTTCCTCCATACCAAACACATCCCTTATGCTTATTCCACTTATACTACATCACAGCCATACTCACCTGTTTGCCATATCCCGTAATCAAGATTGTTACTGCCTTTGGGACTTTGCCCTGCTCTTCCCTCACTTGAAATGCTCTACAGGTGTCCTTCTCCCTCAGCTCCCATGACATTTCCTCACAAAAAGTCCTTCCTGACCACTCAATCCAAAGTAAGCACAGTTATTCTCTGGTATCATCCATGAGTTTAAGACATCATATAGTCTTAAACTCTTTGGATAGTCTCACAGATGGCGTATAGTAAGGTATACCACCTGTACCTTACTATAGACAATTAGCCCTCTGAGAACAGACATTTTTGATCATCTTCACTGATCTATTTTCAATGTTTAAACAAAGCCTAGATATGTTGTCATCTAAAATAAGATAGATGCTCAATTTATATTTGCTAATTAACTAAACCCCACCATTTGCATCTGAAACTCTGAGACAAAATGAAAGGGAAAGAATGACTATTAATGAATTGAGATTATAACATTTATTTGAGGAAAAGACAAAAATTTCTTTATTGATATTTGGTAAACTTTTGTAGTAAAATTCTTCACAATGAGTATCTACCATGGCTTTATATTCACATTCGTACACTGAAGTCCAAAAGGTAAATCCCAGTGTACGTTCCCTTTATCCTAAATGGCTATGTTCTAAATGGTTACTTCATTTCTGCTCCTTAGGAGCTAGGATCACAAGAAAATCTTTAGCTTCCTCTTACCATAGTGCCTCAAGACTAAAGAGAAGGGATAAGAGTAAGAAGAGCTCCACCCCCATACTTCTACCCTTTGAAAAAGCAAAAGAATCTCCCAAAACAAAATCCCCTCCAATACTCAGTGGTTTATTAAAATAATTAGTCAATTATGGACTATTATACTACAAAAAAATCAGTATCTCAATGACACAACTAAACAGGAATTGCAGATATGTTCTCTTCAAAAATATCACAACTGGGCTGAAAACGTAGCTCAGTGGTAGAGCACTTGCCTAGTATAAATGAGTTCCTAGGTACTATCTCTAGCACTGCAAAATATAAATAATCACATAGATATATACATAAAAACATCTTACAACCTTACCATTTCAGAATTCATTATCATCCAACTTTTTGTTAAAACCTTATAATTTCTAGGGTTAGGTTGCAACTTGCTGGTAGAAGGCTGCACAAAGCCCTGGTTCAACATCCTCTATTGTGGGAAAGAAAAGAACCTTATAATTTCTGAAACTAAATTGGGACATGAAAAAAATAAGTAAACTTGAAAATGACAGAATAAGCTAGTCTCCTTACTTTCTGAAAAGACAATGAAATAATACTCCTCCTTATATTTTTTCTTCTGAAATTATTTCTATAATTAACTTGCTTTTGTAATCATTTTCATTTATTTTTATTTCTTACTCTTCTCTGCTGTAGCAGTAGTTGTTGTTACTGTTTTTATTTTGCAATGTTGGGGATCAAACCCAAAGGCTCATGCATACTAGGCAAGTGCTCTATTACTGAGCTGCTCCTTCAGCTCTTCTCATAGTTTTGAACTTCCCATGCCCTAAGATTTAACATCTATAATAAACATACGTTCTCCTTAGGTGACCACCCTTTTCTTTAAAGTCTTTCTCAGAGCAATGTGGACATCCTTGTTCCTCAGACTGTAGATGAAAGGATTCATCATTGGCCCCACAATGGTATAAAAAATTGTAAATACTTTATCTTCATCCAGAGAGCCAACAGGGGAAGGCTTAAGATACATGAATGCTGATGCTCCAAAAAAAAGAGAAACAGCAATTATGTGGGAGCTGCAGGTACTGAAGGCTTTGGACCTGCCCTCTGTAGAACGCATACAGGAGATGTTGAAAAGAATCACAGTGTAAGAAATAAAGACAGTCAGACTAGGTACAATTACGTTGACACCCACTACAATGAAAACCACCAGCTCATTGATGGAGGTGCTTGTGCAAGAGAGCTTCAGGAGAGGAGGGATGTCACACATGTAATGATTGATGATGCTGCCATCACAGAAGGTGAGTCTCAACATGGATCCAGCATGGGCCATGGCACCCACAAACCCCATTGTGTACACAGACACTGTCATCATAAAGCAGAGCTGAGGAGACATGGTGACCCTATAAAGCAGAGGTTTACAGATGGCCACATATCGATCATAGGCCATTGAAGTCAAAATATAACATTCATCAATAACAAAAAAGCAAAAAAAGAAGAGCTGAGTCATGCACTCAGCATAAGAGATGATGTTCTGTTTTACAAAACTTGGCAGCATTTTGGGGATTATAACAGAGGAGTAGCAGAGATCGGTGAAGGAAAGGTTGAAGAGAAAGTAGTACATGGGAGTGTGCAGGTGAGGATTCAGACCAATCAGGGCCATCAAGCCCAGGTTCCCCACCACAGAGACCACATAGATTCCCAAGAAGAGGAAGAAGAGAGGCAGCTGGAGCTCTGGCTGTTGTGTTAATCCCAGCAGGATAAACTCTGTCACTGAAGAGTCATTTCCTGATGTCATTTTTCCTTGGCACATGTCTGTGAGAAAGGGAGAAGCAGTAACATTAAAACGAGATTGCAATTCTTTCCATCCTTCTTCACTACCATGAGACTGAGACCAATAGCAGGAGGATGAACCCAAATCCACCCTTATTTGGGCCATTGTTTTCTCCATTTTACAAGACTGAGAGAATGTATTAAAAACAAGTATTAAAAATAAATATTTATTTTAAAAATAAAAATAAATATGAAAGACTATTTCTGTGGGGATAAGATTCAGGAAACCAATGACCACTCTTGGCTTCTGCCCTGACAGTCCACCTTCTGCCTCAGAGTCAGTGATGTTTTCAGAAGAGGGGAGACAAGGCAAATCAAGGTCTCATTGGCTCCCATGGATTTGAAGACTTGAAGAACAGAGTACATACAATTCAACACTCACCCTTCTGCATCAGGACTTCAGAGGAGGACTTTGTTAACTCTTCTTGATTCTCACACAGGGACAAGTGCAAGAAGCTCTGATGAGTTTTAGAGTTGTGCAACCCAGGAAAGAGATTCTGTTTTAGTTGCTGTTACTGTTTTTTTCAGTGAGAGGGGAAATGAATTTTGGACTGAGGAAACCAGAGAATAGTGCTTAGTTCCCCAAGCTCTGAGAAGCTACAAATTGTAGATCATTTCTAGGGATGACTTTGTCCTCAGTGTCCTCTCCAACCTAGCAGGTAGTAAACAGCATCTGCCGATGTCAAAAGAACCACCTGCTCATATGACCCAAGGAGTTTTTATTATCTTGTAAATCCAAGGGACCTGATTACAAATTGGATACGTGCTTCCCAGTGTTCTCCCTAGAGATCAGGCTTTACAGTTAAGGCAAATTACCTCCTCTGCAATTACAGCTTCGGTCATAACAACAATACTAGCTTAGTAGAAGTATGCCATTTTTACATACATTTTGATTTCTTACCAAATTGAACATATCTCCAAATAGAAAAACAAGAAAGCCTATCCTGTATTCATAGTAAAGTTTTCCTAGTTTCCATCCCAACCAAAATACTATACATGAATTTGTTTGCTTACATATCTCCCATCAATGTATGTACCCACATACATTTGAATCTAAGCTCCATAATGGCAGGGATTTTATCTATTTTCTTCCTTGAATCTGTCTTCACCAAGTAAATATGTGTACAATAAAAGAATGAATGGATGTGGATCCTTTTCTCATTTTTCCCAGAATGTATACTGGATACCAAACAGAGTTTTTGCCCCATAGGCAAAAGCTTAAGGAGTGCCAGTGCTTTTACTTGTAGGCAAGACTGTGGGACAGGGAACCATCAGTAAGACATGAAAAGGCCAAGCTCTCAGAGGCCATCACTTCAGATCAGAGTTACTGAGTTCAGAAAAACCTGTAATTTCCCATCTTCCTGAATGTCACCCCGAGGACTTGTATATTCTCTCTGAGAGGTCTCAATGTCTTTTCCCACACAACTTAAGGAAAGAATCAGATAAGAGGTAGAATTGCACTGGTGCAGTATAGGAAACTCTCAAATGCCAAAATCAAGGATCCATTTCCTATGGGAAATCACTGGGAGCCACTTAGGGTTTTTTGGGGGGGGCGGGGCACCAGATTGCAATAACCACAGTTCCAACTCAGAAAGACTAATATGTCAGGCACTGGCAGAGATGACTAGAATTAGAGAGATAAATGTAGAATGAGTTATAACAGTCAATGAATGATATTTTTAAAAGAGAAAAAAAGAAAAATCAAAACATAGCCTCCATTAATTGCAATGCTGTGAGTAGTTCTCAGAAGCAAAGTTATAAAAGACATTTCAGGAGAAGATTCAGCAGGACTTCTCAAAAAGGGGATAGAAATGGACAATAAAATGTCCCAAAAATGTTAGTCTAGGTCTTTGGGTAAATTATAGTGCCACTACAAAGAGGAAAAAAAAAAAACTCAGGAAGAGTGGAAATATTGATTAAATTGTACATTCAGTTTTGAGTAACTGAACATCCAAGTACATTATACAGAGGAGAACGTATAAATAAGAGTAAGTAAAGTTCAAGAAAAAGGTCAGAACATGAGAAAAACACTTGGAGGACATTTCCATAGATATTAAAACCATGGGATTAGTAAACTCAGTGAGAGAAAACACAGAGTAAAAGAACAGAAGGACCAAAAAAATTGTAAATCCCCCAATAGGAAGCACAAGCAAAGTTAAAATGAGTCCCTATTATTATTCTCAGATGCCCCCAAATTCCTAAAGGGCCAAAAATTCCTCAAGGCACATTTAAAATGTATTTCCCATGACAGACTTTCCTGAGGGTACAGCAGTGATCAGGACTTGGTGATTCATTAAAATGGGTATTTTCTGTGCAATTGTTAAGAATTCTTAATTAAGTGATGCAAGAACATGAAATACTCCTTCTCTTTACATCAAATCATATTTCAAGAAGAATTTTATGTCAGGTTTTAAGGTACAGCTTAGCATGAAGGTCATTCTTTCACCTTTGGTACTTGCAGTGTACGTATGGACAAACACGGAGTGAATACAGAGAGATTCTGAGCTTGCCCTTACATTGCAAAACTCTAGTGTCCCTTTTTTCCTGTTTGCATTATGGTTACATTATTTACTTCAAGCATAACAAATAATGTTACATGGCCACCCTTCTCACTGAGATATGCCACAACATCTCTTCCTCATTCCTTACTCTTTTCAAGCCAGCATGTTTGACCTTATCAAAGTCAGTGGTAATTTAACTCAAAAAGCTTTATATTACACTATATTTTCATAAACATAAAGAAAAAGATACATTTTATTTGCAGGATCATGTCACACTGAACTAACCTGCTACAAATGCCCAGAAATATTGACTGATATATTTTTAAATGCAAATGTGAGTGAGGTAACAAAAAGAAAATTAAATTTTCAATTACAAGAAAATGAAAGACAAAATCTAATTTTGTACATTTGGGGGAAATGTACAAAATGAGGTACTAACCAGCATTTCATTTTTTATTTTCTTTCTCATTAAGAAATAATATTTGGACATCTTCATGTGATATGTTAGGGTAATCCTGTACAAGTATACAATGTACAAAATCATGGTAAGAAGAATTTCCACCTCTTCAACACTTTTAGGTGCTGGGAATTTCATACATTCCAATCATTTTGAAATACATCATAGATTGTTTTAATCAATAGTTACCCTACTGTGCCAAAGAGGAGCCCGAATGAATTCCTTTACTCTGTGTTTTATTGAATTTCTTTCCATCCCCTCTCCTTTATGCCCTTCCCAGTCTCTAATGGCCACTATTTTATTCCATTCTTCTATGAAATTGATTTATTAGTTTTCACAAATAAGTGACAAAATGTGGTATTTGTTTTTCAGTGCCTAGCTTATCATCATGTCTAGTCCCATCCATGCTGCTGAAAAAGACAGGATATCATTCTTTTTATGGATGAACAATATTCCATTGTGTATATGTACCACATCTTCTTTACCTACATATCCACTAATGGCCATTTAGGTCAGTTCCATATTTGGCCATGGGACAGAGTGGTATAACAAGCATGGGAATGTAAGTAGCTTTTCGGTATAATGACTTCATCTCCTTTAGACATGTACCTAGTAGAGGAACAGTTGGATCATAGAGTTAAAAAAAAAAACCATTTTTAATATTTTGAGGAACTGCCATGCTGTTTTCCATAATGGCTGTCCTAAATGTTACCACCAACAATGTAGAGAGTTCCCATCCCTCTATATCCTTCCCAGCATTTTTTTAATGTCTTTTTTGGTGATCCTCATTCTAACTGGGATGAGATGATATCTCATTGTGGTTTCGATTTCCATTTCCCTAATGATTAGTGAAATGAGAATTTTTTTCATGTACTTGGTCATTTGTACGTCTTTTGAGAAGTGTCTTTTTAGTTCTTTAGTTTTATTTTTGTTTACTTAAAGTGCTGGGGATCAAGCTATTTAGCTAATTTTATGTGATTATTTTTATTATTACTTTCATTATTATTACTATGATTGCATTCAGCTTTTCGAACTCTTCATGTATTTTGGATTTTAATCTAAAAAAACCCAAAGTAAGGCTAAAGCCCTTTGCTGTTCAGATGGCCAAGCTCTGAGAAAAAAAAATAGACTGGTGTCTGCAGCTTATTCCAACCATTTCTCAGGTTGAAGAGCAGCAGAGCAGCAGGTTCTAGTCTTAACAAAGGTACTGAGCTTCAGAAAAGGTAAAAGAACCAAGCACAACTTAGCAAAGGAAAGGGCATTTGGAGCGGAGTAAGGTGAATTACGTGGGGAGAGGCATCTCAGCAAAGTCCCCAGTGACCTCCGCAGAAGGTGACCTCACATATACGGGCTTCGGCACCCAGGAATGAACATTACAAACAAACAGTGCCTGTATCAACATGAGTAAATATAAAAAGCATGAAAATGAAAATGCAAAAATAAATATATTATGAAAACTTTATATAAATTTTTAAACACCCAAAATTATCCTGTTTGTAATTTATAGACACACATGTCAGGAGTAGAATTGTAAAAAGTGACTGACTCAATAACCAACTCATAGTGGTTATTTCTAGTTAGAGGAAGGAGAGAAGGAAGGAGATATGTCACCTTAGCAGGTGCAGCCAAACACTGTTTGTACTCCTGAGGCACTGAAATACTCACACAATGAACAAGCATGCAATGTTTTATTTTTTGTCTCCCCTGAAAAAAATTTCAGGGCAATATATAACACACAAAATCCAGGTTTTGAGTTCACTAGAACTTTTAAACTTGTACTTTTCAGGAAACAGATCAGAAAAGATCATGGTTTAAAGCCAGCCCAAGCAAAAAGTTTATAAGATCCCATCACAACAATAAAAGCTGGGCATGGTGGTACACTTGGGAAGTGTAAGTAGGGCCTGCCGGGGCAAAAACACCAAACCTCTACATGAAAAAAAAAAATAACCTAAAAGCAAAAAGGATGGGGACATAGCTCACATGGTAGAGTGCCTGCCTAGCAAGGGCAAGGCCCTAAGTTTA